GGCACCAATTTCGGGCCTAACCGGCGAAAAACGGGCTCCTGAGGGCGCGACTGGGCCTGTTTTCGGGCGCCAGCTCAAACAAATCGCCTTGGGGGAGCCTATTGGGGGCGCGGCTGGAGTTGCTGTAAGTAAGTTGGCCGTGAGATTGGTAAGTGTGATCATCAAAAGCTTGCAAGTTAATGTGGTGCATGACACGTACGTAAAAACCTCCTTCAACTTCAGGAAGTGTCCGGACAGTTAATTTGTGAGGACAATCTACCTGCTACGGATCAGTTGTTAAGTTGGAATGAACAGATAAATTTACAATAATCCGTTCATCTGTGATATAATCTAATCAGTTTTGTCTAGCTGAACCTCGGATGTTGACCAGATTCCTGTAAGAGCATTTGTGCATCGAAGCGAGCGCGCTAGATAGCGTAAGAGGCACTTCAGCCAACAATGCAAGTAAGAGAAATAATCAGGTACTTCAGTCAACAATGCAACAAGGTTGTCTAAGTTAATCAAGGAGGACGGCATGTGGCAGGAACTTATCCAAGATAAATACTTGGGAGATCCAAGAGTCTTAAGTAGAGTGGAATCAGGAACTCCAATTTGTTGCCCGGCCTCATGAATGTAAAACGGGATTTTCTTACAGCTTAGGATGTTTAACAACAAAGATGGCTCTCAAGTGAGATTCTGAGAGGATATTTGGTTTGGAAACACATAGCTCACCAAAAAATATCTACGCCTTTACAACATTAGTGAGGGTAAAAGAATATCTCGATTTGTGCCGGTCGTGGCTTGTCTTTTACTTTTGAGTACTATGTTGGTGTTAGAGATTGATGGTCTTGAATTTTAATTAAATATGGTTGTGTGCATCGTAATGATGCAGATGCCGTCAGGGCGCTACAAGACTGGCACTGGTGCTGCACTGCCAAAATGGGGACATCACGGACACTTAAAAGGGGCAGCATCGGTGTAGCAAAGAGTCGCCAATGCTGCAAGCTTAGGGCATTTCTAACCTACCCTTATAACCGATCCTCTAATCAGGACTAGCCAATCCATTATCCGCCGTAAAGGAGTAAATTTTTCACTCCTGCCCTAAAAATCACCCTATAGTTACTCCATCGCGCGGCGGCAGAGTAAAAGTCGCGCCTCCCCTCCACTACCTCCCCCCTCCCCTCCCGTGCCGCATATGCACCTGCGCCGCCCTCCCACCCCCTGTCGGCACCCGCCCATCGCCGCCGCCCCTCCGTAGGCTCTGCCGCCGTCCTGTACCACTTAGATTTGTGCCTCCTCCTCCCGTCTCCGACGAAGAAGTGGTGGATCTGTGGCTGCTCCCATCGTCGCCGGATTTGGCGTTTCATACGGGCGGTGGCTGCGTCTTGCCATGGATTGGCCGTGAAGCAGACCGCACAGCCTCGACAACGCCTTTGGGCCACATGCAGGTACCGGCTCCTCCACTAGCCACTCGAATCTCTCCCGTTGAAGGTTCACCGACAAATACACGCCCTGCCGTCGCCCAGGGTCGGCGCTGGCGCAGCAGCTCGCTGGCTCACCATTGCCAGTCATACATTGCGACGACTACATGCAGCAGGTGGTGCGTTGAGCCTCTACCACGCCAAAACATCGTGGCGTGTTCTTCAAGTGCACAAATGATGGGGTATGTGCTTTGTTTTCATTCGGTTCTTCACCGGATTTGGCGCATCGGTAGCTCATTGTCTGCTCATCTATATGTGTAGGATGGATGCAAGTTTTGGTATTGGGAAGAAAAATACATCGATCTATTGATAGCACGAAAATTGATAGATGTTCGTGCACTCGTTGCTAGAACTGAGGCTAGAGATGAGATTAGATGTGAAGCAACATCTATTTCTTTAGAATCGACGCAGAAAAAAATATTGAAGCTCAAGAATCCGCAGATCAACAATGAAGACATAGAGAAGATAGTAATCCAACTAGTGGGAGCAGTTAGGAAAATTGGATATCTTTTAAAATGTCTAATTATGGTTCTTGTTTTCTTTGGTCTTGCTCTTGTGGCGAAGAGTTGGTGAATTATGTACTTCAATATCGTTGGATGAAATAAAGAAGTAAGGAAATGTGTTTCGGTGGCCAAATATGTGATGCAATAAAAAATTATATATATGGGGATCGGCTAGGTCCAGTGAAATTTTTGTGGAGTATATATACTCTACTGAGCTTTTACTCTGCCGGATGCTCCGTTATTTTTAGGGAATCGGTTAGAAATGCCCTTACCGAGGTGCTACAAAGCTTGTTAGTGTTGCTGCAACCTGTCACCACGCTACTGCAAGGGGAGGGGATGGCGATGATGCAATGAAGTTCTTCGACACCAACAACACTCACGGCGGTGGCAACTACACCCAAGAGTACACACGCAAGCGAGCTAGGGGGGATTTGATCGGGTGGCTCATATCGCCGGGTCTAGGGCTAGCACTGCCTAATTTTTAACACGTATGGAGCGCCATAGGAAAGATTCTACCGAAAACATGACTAATCTTGTGGGCCAAAAAACGATGAAAAGTCGTCAGGAATAGTATGTCTGTATATAAAAAACTTATACACATGGCAACTAAACGAGTCTTAAGAACACACCGACAATTAGATGATTTCATTTTAGTTGATAGTGATATATCATCATGTCAAAACAATAGGGAAAAAGTTGGTGCAGACCGTACGCAGATCTCCTCTCGTGGGTGCCCTCTACGATCTACCGCCACCTGTCAAGCTAAAGCATTCCATGTAATCAGTTCGCCACATGCATCGCTCCTTCCTTGGGCTCACTTTCACTTCCCAGCGTATTCCCTCGGTCCTAGAATTGTGTCGAGATCGTGCAGAACGAGAAGCCATCGCGCGAGTCATGAACACGGGTGAGTGTCAGACACCTGTCACTTTGGTTAGACAGGTGTCGGCAAATCGCGGAGAGTGCACACTAGGAGATTTTTGTACGAGCAATGCTACATGCACGGGGTGGTTTTTACTGAGATTTACGGGCATTCTTAGCTGGGATAACTTGATCGGAAGGAAAGGGGATGAGGAGCCCACACCCCCTGAAAATCAGGGGGCTGTGAAGATTAGTTAACAGGGGGATCGTGTAAAACGCCCGCAGTACTCCGTTAGTCTAGAATTTTCGTTTTTGTACAGTCTCCTCCCCTTTTTTTCCCCAAACAATATTAGTGCTCTTCTACTCACAGAGGGTCACTCTCGATCGTTGTGCCGACGTTCCACGAATTGCTGTCTAGCTAGCTTGCCATCGTGTGCGTACGTAGGTACTCCTACATGCGTGACCACGACGCAGAGATGAGAGATAACCCAATGCGCAAGCGCGTACGTGGAAGTTTTCGTGTCTTAATTCATTTCTTCCCTAGCTAGCTGTGCATGCACTGACTGTGTCTCTACGTTGCTTTGGTTCCCTATGTCACCTTGATCAATGTGATGCACTGTACATGTAGCACTTCAAATACGCCATCTCCCGGCCCGTATATATGTGATCTTTTACCCCGTGTGAGTTTCATGACGTACGCCTTCCTACATACGCTGTAATTATATGGTCAATTTTTTTATTTTATTTTTTGCGGGAGTAATCATATGGTCAATCATGCGTAAAGATCCTAATTCCTATGCAGAAAACTGTATGTGACTTATATATAACCTCTAGAAAACGCATATAAAATCGTTTATTGTCATATATCTGTTACTCCTTAACCATATATATAGATCCAGAAAGTAGTAGTACACCATACCGAAGTGCTACACCTTTTGCGAATGAAATGCTAAACCTTAACCATATATCCAGAAAGTTACCAGTCGTCTGGCTGGACAGACAGTTGACAATGTGCTAGCTCGTTAAGAAACTTCAAGACGAGCTGCCACGCAAAGTCCCTAATTTTATTATTATTTTGAACTTACGCAAAGTCACTAATTAGTAACTCAACTTTCAAATTCACCTAGGCTGAGATCTCTAATCGGGACGAGTAAAGTAACAAAAGTCATTCCTACGGCCAAGACAAGATCACAAGATTAGGCATTAATCTAAAGCGCGAGCGGTGCAAATAAAGTAAGGCGATTTGCAGGGAATAGAAGAAGAATGGAGAGATTGGGATTCGGAACGATGGAATTAGAGGTTTAATTCCCCCGTTCCCCTGACTCCCACGTGCAGAGTCCAAACTGGAGCACGGATAGTCTACCACTCTACCACATAGTACTTCTTACAGACTAACCCTTGCTCACTTTGCTCTCTCCAACACATTTTTTTCCTTTGAGAAAAAACAAACACCAAGTCTAGATAATCGGCCTCGATAATTTTTTGTGGCAGGGGCGCATCTACAAAAGATCACACAGGAATAATACATTACTGTTCCAGATGGAGACACCAGATCGCTCCTTCTGAGGCCAGTTTTGGGGCAGGGTCCCCTAATCAAGGGACAATACCCCTTCTTTTCATTTAGTCCTTCCAAAACTGCCCCAAGACATGCCTGGTCCATATTGCTACATGTGCATGGACTCTAGTACTGTGATTCTATCAGCATGGTCAATGCTCTCGTAAAGAATTTAGCTACCTATATAGTATAGCACCAATCGCCAGCTCAAACCCATGCATCCATGCACAGCACAGGCAGTATATACAACATTTTATAGACCTAGGGTTTGTCTTTGGTGAGCATCTTGGACCGGTTAACCCTGCTGCCCCGCAGCTGCCCCTTTCCATATAACCCATACACATCCTCTTCACTTCCCTTGCACCATCGTCTTCCTCCTGTTTCTCTTGCTTCTCTCTCTTTGTACCTCGTTGCCTTGGGGAGCAACCAGGCGGCCAGACTCGATCAAAAGGCAGCAGGAGATTTCCAAGGTTTGTGCTCTTCCTTTTGTTCGTTTACCACTATGGATGATGAGGAAGGTACATAGAGGAAAGAAGCTGTTAATGTGAGAGGAGCTTTTGATTTGGTGTTGCTTCTTCTTCTCAGATCGATCTTAGGGGGGAGCCGGCGAGGGAGAGAGCTAGCATGCATCCGAGTGGCGGCGCGCTGTCGGTGCCACCGGGCTTCCGGTTCCATCCGACGGACGAGGAGCTCCTCTACTACTACCTGAGGAAGAAGGTCGCTTATGAGGCCATAGATCTTGACGTCATCAGGGAGATCGACCTCAACAAGCTCGAGCCATGGGACCTCAAAGGTAGGTGACCAAAAGCCGATCGAGCCCCCCGTATTCAGGCAGCTATAGTTAATATACTGATGGAGTATTAATTAACTCGATCGTGCTGACAAACTATATGTGCGGTGTCATGTAATGGCATGCAGATCGGTGCAGGATAGGCACAGGGCCGCAGAACGAGTGGTACTTCTTCAGCCACAAGGACAAGAAGTACCCGACGGGGACGAGGACGAACCGGGCCACCACGGCGGGGTTCTGGAAGGCGACGGGCCGCGACAAGGCCATCTTCCTCGGCAGCGGCGCCAGGAGGATCGGCATGAGGAAGACGCTGGTGTTCTACGTCGGGAGGGCTCCCCACGGCAAGAAGACCGACTGGATCATGCACGAGTACCGCCTAGACGAAGACAACGTTGAGGTCCAGGTAGGCAAAAGATTCATCGGCCACAAACTGATATCGGTTTCATGCATATGTCCATCTTTTCTTACCAGTACATATATTTTGGTCCGGAATGCAGGAAGATGGCTGGGTGGTGTGTAGGGTTTTCACCAAGAAGAGCTACACGAGAGGCATGAACCCGGCGGGGATGGCGGGGTACGACGACGACGAGCTCCTCCACCCTTTCCCGGTTCCATCTTCCGCCGCCGGCGCAATGCAAATGATCACGGACCAGAAGCACATCATGCACAGCCCCGGCCACCTCATGCAGCAGCAGCAGCAGCAGCACTACGACTTCCCTTCCTTCGACGCGTCCATGCAGCTCCCGCAGCTCATGAGCGCCGAGCACGAGCAGCAGACGCTCTCCTCCTTCCTCCCCGGCGCACCGGCTGCCGTTGCCATGAGCTCGCACGAGCTCGAGTGCTCACAGAACCTGATGAAGCTCACTTCGAGCGGCACCAACGGAATGCTCCACCACGGTGGCAGTGGCGGTGGCGGTGGCGGCGACCCCCGCTTCCCCGGCACGGACTGGTCCATCCTGGACAAGCTCCTCGCCTCGCACCAGAACCTGGACCAGCTCTTCCAGGGCAAGGTTGCCGCCGCCGCAGCAGCAGCATCAATGGCGCCTTATCAACAGCAGCATCAGCAGCAGCTCATGGAGCAGCTTGGAGGCGGCAGCACCTCCTCCATGCAGAGAATGCCACTGCAGTACCTCGGCTGTGAGGCCGCCGACCTCCTCAGGTTCTCCAAGTAGCTAAATGGAGCTTTGCCTAGCTAGCTGCCATGCTATAGTACTGTTGATCTGATCAGCTCCTGTTTTTCATGTTTTTGTTAAGACCTGGTTCATTTGATCGTCGATCTACCTTGGTACGGAATGCATCAAAATGTGTATAAAGGAAAATTTTGTATATGTGGCTTCGAGTTTGCCTTAATTTGCTTAACCTATAAAACTTGGAGCTAGTATTGTTTAGCTACATTATACCTATTAGAGCAGGTAGGGCAGTTAATTTGCTCCACTAATTAAGGTTCTATATTCATTCAACAAATTAATGGCAAACTCGAAGTCACATTTACAAAGAAAAATCTAGCAATGCATACAATGTCTTTTGCGCTCTGCTGTGGAGCTAGCCTGGTTGGAGACGATGAGGATATAGTTTTGAAGTTTCAATTTGGCTGGACTTGCTTCGAAGGTTTGCTTGTTGAAGATATATGAGTGTGAAGAGAGAGTAGGGCCTTGGGGGCTGTTATATATATGCCCTGTACTATGGGTACTTGTTCCCTTTCATGACTTCAGAGTATCTGGTTTCCATTTATTCCTTGTTTACTAAAGATGATACTCCGCGGGTTGTTGCGGAAATTGCTTGCATTTATTTCAATCAGATTTGGTTGAATGAATAATTAGTATTTGGATTAACACATGAGAATTTGGAAGTAAATACATACGTTTTATAGTATTTAATTATTGTGTAGTTTTAGAACATTTATTACATTTTTTTAGTAAGAATATTTATTACATATGAGCAGCATGCATGATGCATGTAAGGTGGGCCTTTTCCCATGCATAGTGGAATGATGAGTTGGCAATTGTATGTTGAGAGAACCTGCAAGAAAATGCATGTTGAGAGAACTAGGTGATGCCCTGCACATTATTGCATGGATGTTTTGCAATATATTTTAAAAGATATTGATTTTATGGAAAAATAGGAATATTCGGAGAAATAATATGAGAGCTAAAACTAAAAATACATATGCTTTGTTGTGTTTCATTATTGTATTTTTGTAAAATACTAATTAAATATATCATGCATGTTTGCATGTTGAGGTGAACCTTTTCCTATGGCTCATTGAATGTTGAGGTGGGTCTTTTCTAATGCATGTTACTTGATGAGGTGTCATGCTTGCATGTTGAGAGAAATATGTTAGTGAGGGCTAGCTATTTAGATATAGAAGATTAGAGTTAGTGGGAATCAACTATTTAGGTATACAGGATATAGGATTTAGGGGTGCTCATGAATGATTTGATTTATATAGATCAGAAACATCAATGGATTGGTTTGAATGGTATCAAGTTGAGGTTTCAATTTGATTTCAAAATACTAACTTGGGATCGAGTGGGAGAAAAAAAGTTCAAGATTAGAACTAAGAACATTGGTTCAATGGCTTTATGAGAATTCTTTGTTTTGTAAAACGATAATACACTTAAGGAAGAGAAATAATTCAATTTGGTCATCTGAATTTTGGATTGGAGTAAGGTGAAGAAAACGTATGATTTCTTGTTTTTGTGAGGAAAGAGAATGTATAGTTTTATTTACTATTCATGATGAGATGGTCATAAATATTTGAGGCACATATCAATGGTTATCAGATCCTATTAACTATGACAAAACCTTTGTCTTTGATTTCCCATTCTGTTCAAGCAATAAAAGGGGAGTATAAATGCAATTTTAAACATAAGGGTGAGTTCCTTCACTAAAAAGTTATACATGATCATTTGAAAACATAAGGTAAACAAAATTCAAATGACTAGGAAAACATTAACTCAATTCTTCATACAAAAGTAAACTTTCTTCATGAGAAAGGGGTAAAATTGTTTTCCTCGCCATGGTAAACAGTTGATAGAATTTTCTGCAATGGAATATATCGAGCTAGGCTTGTTAAGTTGGGCAATGAAATATATCGAGCTAGCCTTGTTAATTTCCGCAATGGAAGGCGGTGTTTTTTTTTCTAATATCCCATGTTGCTAAAGTTGCCATATTTCAAATTATTGTTTAGAACTCAATGTAAAAAAATGTGAAAAGGACAAAGACCGTATATTAAGTATCACAAGTCTTTACAAACACATTCTTACATTAAAAAATTACATCCAATTCCTTAGGTGTGCCAAAATCTTCTTCCTCCTGCACCCATTGTGTCAGGACCCCGACTCGATGTCACATCGATCTAGCTGGTAACACCTCATATCTCTTTGCGGCCTCACGCACGGTATCCCCACGGGTGTCGTCTTACCTTTTCCCGGGACCGTTTGCGCCTTTTGGCTCACGTATATGATAGTGTCGCTAGCATCCATATGATAAAGAGCCCGGGCTGACATGACTAGTCGTAAACCCAAAGTGGCACAGACTTACAGGGACAGGCATCCATGACCCAGCTTCGAACGTGTCGGTCATCAGCAAGTGGGTCCGGGCTGTAGCACTGGGCTAGCAGGACTCCGGTAAACCGGGCTGTAGCGGGCTAACAGGACTCCGGTACTCAAAGCGTGACATTTCCCCGAAGGGACAGACACAGGAACGAAGAAGGACACATGCCGGCTAGCCTAAGTGTTCCAGAGCAGTAGCAAGCTACCATGGCTCAGCGGTAACACTAGGAGACATTTCCCGGTAAGAGAGGCTACTAAAGATAAACAACTAGATAGTCAGATCCCACACATACCAAGCATTTCAATCATACACACAATATGCTCGATATGTGCAAATACAACGAAGCATCACAACATGACTCTATGACACAAGCACTTTATTTAAGGCTCAGGGAGCCATACATATCATACACAAAGGTACGGGTCTCACGACCCAACATACAAGTCATACAATCATACAAGCCAACAGCGGAAGTACATTGTCTGGGTACAGACAACTAGTAAAATAAAAGAGGCTTGGAAGCCTAACTATACTACGTGGTCCATCACAAGCTCAGGGTCACCACCTGGGTCTTTAGCCTACTCGTTGATGTCAACGTCTACATAGAACCCATCAGAAGGGGTTGCAGCGTCTTCTGTAAAATGTAGATTATAGCAACATGAGTACAAAGGTACTCAGCAAGACTTACATCAGATCCTACATACATGCATAGTATCAAGAATGGTTGGTGGAGTTATTGCAGCAAGCCAGCTTTGACTCTTGGCTAGACTATCCTATGATACACCAACTTGAAATGTTTTGCGCACTCGAGTCCACTACTCACCACTCAATACACTACCGAGGATCCACCTCCGTCTTCCTACGGAAGAGCCATCCTCGGCACTCACACTTATCTTGAGGCTTTTAGTAGTTTCCATTTACTTGTCTATGAACTGTATAGGCAACCAAGTAGTCCTTTACCGCGGACGCGGCTATTCGAATAGATCATGATAACCCTGTAGGGGTGTACTTCTTCATACATGTTTCCACCACTTAGCGTCTGCACACGACATGTGCTCGGCAGACTTCAAGCGAAAGCCGACGTGGGTGTAGACCACGACCTACCTAAACACTTAAGCCTCTAGTCCAGGTTTATCGCCTATTCAGGTTCCATCCGCAGGGAGTCCGGCCGAGGTTTCCCATACGGCCCCGAACGATGTGAACAGGGTTCCCGAGATACCTAACGGGTATTCGGTACACCCGGCCACGTACCTACCGCATCACAGCCCACCCCTATGGTCAGCGCTGTCCACGGCCTCCAGTAGGCTACAAACACCAGAAACTACTTGCAACTCCTGGACAGAGAGCTAGGGTGAATAAGAAGTCGAGCGGGGTCATATTTCAGGGCCCAATGCATGGTAGTAGCTGTATCTTAAATCACACATACAGATCTCAGTGCTTAAGGTCGGCTTCAATGAAACAACCCACCATGTACTCCTACATGGCCTCTCATCGATACCTTTACCAAATCGTGTTCACCACACCACTCTCATTACCGACATAATCATTTCACTCTAGCCCATCACCCAGATGAACCAGGCCTGACACGACTCTAAGCATAGCAGGCATAGCAAGGTAGGAACAACACATACATATGGCTCAATCAACTCCTACACATGCTAGTGGGTTTCATCTAGTTACTGTGGCAATGACAGGTCATGCAGAGGAAATGGGTTCAACTACCGTAGCACACAGCAGTTTGAATCGCGTTGTCTTAATGCAGTAAAAGAGAGCAGGAGCGAGAACATGGGATTGTATCGATATGATCAAATGGTTGGTTGCTTGCCTGATGGTTCGATGCTCGGATATGATTCTTCGTTAGGGTAATCACGGTACTCCTCGGAGACAGACCCTGTCGCAAAGGACACCGATACACAAGCATCACCAAACAATGTGCAACAATATGATGCATGCATGAAACATGGCAATATGAGTGTGTTGGGCTAATGCAACTAAAAACCAGAAGGGTTTGAACAAATTTGAATCAAAGATTCAAATTTCAAACTCAAATATGGCCTCTTTAAGTGCTTTTCCTTATTCTGCTTTAAACATCAAGTTAACTTGTTTGATCATGCATGAAAATGGTACAGATGGATAGATTGGATTTTCCCGATCATTTTTCATATATAATTTGTCCAATTTGGAGTTACAGAATAAAAGTTATGAATTTTTAAAGTTTAAACAATATTCTGGAATTTCCTGATTTAATTTAAATCCAGAAAATCAATTACTGCGTCAGCCTGACGTCAGTGTGACGTCAGCAGGTCAACGGAACAGGTCTGGGTCAAACCTGACAGTGGGTCCCGCATGTCAGGGTGATTAATTTAATTAAAAGTTAATTAAAACTAATCCTGTTTAATTAACAGGGCTGGGCCCCACCTGTCATTGACTCAGGGGAGTCAACCAGGGCCCACCCGTGGTCAAAGTCAAAGTCGGCTGCCGGCGTTTAGTCGCCGGTGAGCCCGACGCGGCGGCGGAAGTGGTTTTGGTCATTTCGGCCACCAGAGGGGCCGCGGAGACCACCGGAGTGGAGCTGAGGTCGACCCGCAGCTCTTGGCGGAGCCCGTTGGGGTCGGGG